GGAAAATTCAATTCCAATAAAGGAACATCTTACCACAAATATGCCATGAAAATATATAGTGCATCACAGTATTCAAATTGCAATTTCACAGAAGAATTTTAAAGATATGGATAGTTTATGTCAATTTTTGATGACACAGGAAAGAAGGAGAATCAATTACAATAATTTTCAAAATAGGGTTAATCAAAATAATAATAGACAGGAATATTCTAATAGAGAAAGTAATAATAATTATAATAATCGGAATCAATACAACCAATCATATAGGAGACAGAATAATAACAGAAATGATAATAATAATTATATAAATGACAGATATTACAATAATAGAACACAAAATAATAATAGATACAATAATATGAATTTTAATAATAACAATAATCACAGTACACAACGAAACAACTTCAACAGAGAATATAATAATAATAAGAGACTTGCATAAAATATGTATAATAATAACAATGTTAACAGATATTACAACAACAATAATAATACATACATCCGGAACACATCCGGAGCATGCCGCCTTTTCCGCCCAAAATCTAAGGGATTACGTATCCTTCGGCGGCAGGGCTATATAGCTCCTCCCCAGCCTTTTAACGAAGTGGTAGAAGTGACAGTTCTACCACCCGTTGGCACGGCTGAAGATGAGACTCGCACCATACCACCAATGGAGAAGACGACAATCAGAATACGCAGGGCGCTCCACAGAATTAGGCCTCTGATGCCACAAGAACTGGCTTGTTTGGATGCGGAGGTTCATAGTGTTCTAACAGAAGAGGCTGACATCTGGTAAATCAACACCATCTTGTGTACGGCGTGTACACAAGATGGAGGCTAAGATCACGTCGGCGAGACAACACGCGTCTCGTATCTAATGTGTGATGGACTACAGGGCGGCCAATAGGCCTTTCACGCCCACAGTGCCGCGAATAGCCGCCAATCTACGACGTATCCATCACACTCTGAGCCAAGGCGTGCTGTTGACCACCAAACAGCACTGCCTTGATAGAATACAAATGCTAGTGGCTGCTAAGAAGTCACTAGTGAGACGAGCGAGAAGTATCGCGGAAAATCTTAGGTTCCGCGAGAAACCTTCTCGCTTATTCCAAGAGCCTCCACGTGTTGTGGATAATCCGCCGACTGCTGATCAGATGGAATCCTTCTGGAAGGATATCTATGAACACCCGCAGCCACTCAACTTAGGCACTCCAGCCCTGTCGCAGTTCGAAGCTTTCAACAGAGAGCTTTGACAGCCTGAGCTGAATGAACTGCGCAACCCGATAACCCCGGATGAACTTCGACAGATCTGGTCATCGGAACTGTCGGGAAAGAACAAAGTTGCTGCAACAAATATGCTTGCCGTTCCAATCTTACTCTACTCATTTGGAGTAGTGAAGTGGACTCGGGAGGAGCTGTATCAACTCGACGTGAAAACCCTATTCTTGGTTCACTGCGCTTGCTCAGGGCACATGATTCTCGGACCCAATGATCACTTACCCCACGGTGTGGGGAGTGGTCATTGGTTGATAATGCCGGCGCGTCCTCTCGAATGTATCGGGGCTTCGGGGAATAGGGCCTGACCAGCGCACACTACGGTGAAAAAAAATACATACAGACACAGAGCTAATAGTACAGACAGACAAAATGACAGAGACAATAGGGATTACGATGACGAAAGAAAATGATGATATGTACAGACATAGGAGAAGTAGAAGCGTAGAAGAAATCAGACAGCTAAATAATTTACAACGAACACACGCTACGAATGAGGTACAGAATACTAGTGATGAGGTTGAAATTACAAATTGTTTTTCGGTATCACTCAATGAATTTTTTTTGTATCAATTTTCAGCTGTATTCAAATTCATTTAAGTTTCATTGAAAAATGTATCGTAATGAGTTTCTAATTATTTTTGATATACATACTCTCACGTAGGGTTCGAGCCATCCTCAAAAGTTGTAAAACCGACAATACCTATTGAATTTAATGCAATATTTTCATGGAGCCAAGTTCTCAACAATCACATCAGAACTCTCCATAATTACCAGCTCCTCAAAACAAATAAATTTAGCAAGCAGGGATCGTGTATCGATATGTCTCATTTTCATAAGTCCCTCAGAATGATTCAAAAGATAATACTTTATTGAAAAGAGTTTCTTGATCGTAATACAATGAAAAAAGAAACGAAATGAATGGAGAAATATCCAATTAACTCATATACGTGCATTTTACATATTTTTCTTATACATTTCCTTCTGCTAGCGTTTCATCTTTAGATTTTCCATTCTTCGATAATCTCAAATTGGACAAATTGAATTATTTCCCGCCAACGGAAAATTCTCCTAACCCGACTGTACACCTCCCGTCACTCCTCATTTCCGCTCTGAAGAGAACGCCGTGAAATGATAATGCATTCAGGTGAACTATGAAGAAATCCAACGCCCGAAAGCCCGAGAGCGTTGAATAGCTCTTGAATGTAGCATAAAACCATTTCTGCATAATGTGACGGATTACGGACACATTTCTAAAAATCGCGACCTAAGCGTTCTCGCAAAAATCCATTTTGCATATCTATACCTACATAACTTCAAGCACTTTTGGGAACTAAAGTAGGCCTGTCTTTCTCGCTTGCTGTAAGTGACGTAAACATTCGGGTGGATCTCTGGAAAAAATTGATAATTGAGGAAAACGACTGTTCCAGAAAAGATGAATTGAAATATAAATTCAAATACATTAGTAACTGTGCAATATTAAATAAATGTGTGTAAATATAGAAAAAAATGGCAGTACATGCTCAATATTTTAATACAGTCTTTTGAGTGTAAACACTTGTGTTCGACTGGGTTACTTGAAAAATAAAGATTTTGAAAACTGTTAATAGATAAAGTTCATTATGAAAATAGAAATGAAAAGAAGAAATAATGTAAGTATCATCAATAGTAAGCAAATCTTCAATTTTCAGTATTATTCAATATTCAATTGTGTATTTTTTTTTCTAAATATGTACTGTCAGTCTCAACTTTTTATTTTCATTATTGGAATTATACTGTAAATTTCACAAACAATACATATGGAGCGTTTATACCTTAAATGTAGAGTGAACTTCAATTTGCAAGTATTTATTGGTCTTTGAGCTTGTGCTCGAATTAATTTTCATATGCACCACTCCAGGCTATGATTCCTTAGGTCATAAAATTGGAAAAAATTGCACGATTGAACATTATTGAAGTTTTTACTTTGAATACATTTCACAGAAGTCTGAACTTATGACAAATTTTTGTTAATTCAAATAAATGGGAATTTGCTATGAAATACTTAACATATCAGATATGCCTATCAAATTAGATCTACTTTGGTCTTCTTCCAAGACTCCTATTATTGCGTTCAGGGTCGGTATATCTTTCTATAAAAAAATTAAAGTAGTATTCTTCTTATTGCAAGTTGGTAGATTTCATCAACAGTCACAGATTCTCTTCCTGAAGATGATTTTGGTCATTTCACAGTTTTATATTTTCTTTCATTCTTGATTTTGAAACTCCTAAAACAATTGTTGGTATTCTCAATAATTTTATCATTTCATCATTTTCCTTTTATTTTTTCACCCATAGATTTCAACGGTATTATTCTTTTATATATTGAAAGTTCGAACTTATGAAAAATCATCATTATTCGTCATTAGCACGAGTATCAACCGTCAAGAGTGCCACGAGAGAAAAACTCTTATAAAACTGAACAGCTTCTAACGGAACAAAAAGGCGGCAATCGTCAATATCTAGGAATTATTCCATCCCAAGAGCACATCGCATGCCTGCCGACCATACTTCCCGAAACTGTTATCCCATAAAACTCTCCTAATGAGCAAATACCCCCACACAATATCAGAATACACATTTTGATTCCCAATCCGGCATTTATCCGTAGGTGATCTCACATTGCCCGAGCGTTGCGCCTGTGCACTAGACTACCACCGACACGGGTCACGTGACGCACAGTCGCACTATGGCGGCAGAACAAGTCCAAACCTCTATCGAAACATTGCAAGAACTTCAGTATTGGTGCCACAATCCAAGCGAGTGGACGTGCGTTCAATCCGAGGATGTGCAAAGTGTCTCAACGAATGCATCACTAGCCGCAAATTGATCTGTACCCAGCGAATCGAATACTGTTCATCGACCTTCAGCTGTTTCTGTCACCGGCTCGCGGAGATGTGAAATACGCGAGGTCAAGATCAAGCAGGTGAAGTGACTGACCCATTTGCCAAACATCACCCGTGAATAATGACATTACCAGCAGATATTCGTTTTCGCCTCGACAGAGCCAACTCGGAAGATGGGAGGGACTCATTTTGATATGTTGCAGTCCAGTCTCCGATGAACTTGTGAATTCAGTGATCTTAATAGCTTCTTAACATTGTGAGAAAATGGCACTTAATCATGCTCTCGGTGCTGTCATCGTATTAACTTGCTTTCTTTGTTATTACAATAGTTACTATTGCGGTTTCGTATTTGACGATATCAGTGCCATCAAAGAGAATCGGGATCTGAGACCACATTCTCCGTTGATGAATATTTTCGTCAATGACTTTTGGGGTACCCCAATGCACAAGGTAAGGAAAAGATCCGCCCCTCTCATACAATTATACCTAAACCAGTAAAAATAGCTTTGAAAAAGCATGCTCCAGCAGAATATTTATTATCATTATTTGTCACAACCTCAATATAAGCAAATGAGTTTCAACACAAGTAGGTATTTAACCTTTGCCAAGAAAGTCTGCATTTCCCAGTAGTGAGCAGAAAAATACCTTAAACAGAACAAAAGTGGATTAATGAATGAATTATAAAATGATTTGATCATATACGTCACAGAAGAGCATGCTGAAAAGGAAAATAATTAGATACTCAGTTTGAATACACGCAGAAACTCAATTCCAAGTATAAACTATCTGTGTTGAATTATTGAATTTCCCAAATCTTACCCAGAAGTGAGATGGATACAAAGAACTTTCAAAACTGTCTTAGCGAAGTATACTATGCTGTAAAGCATTTTGCAGTGCCCTTCAAAAAATATGATTGATATTATACCTAAGTAAGGATGTTTTTTGATGCAGTTTGAAATATCTTTTAGCAATGTAGGTACTTCTTGACTCAAAGCATTGGATCAAATATCTATAATCACATAAAATGATAAACTTAAATTCTATATCATATACCTATATATCTATATTTAGAACAGATCAGGTAGTGATTATGAAACGTATTATTGATAATGAAATAAATTAATAATAATAAGTGGTTATATCAGAGTGTTAAAATGAGTGGACTGAAGAGTTTAGGAAATTCAACTTCAATATTCTTTGGAATTCTGTGGAAAGAATACATGTTCAAAACGTACTTATTAATAGACAAGTTTTCCTATGACTACTCAAGAAGACGAAATACACCCTACTTGCAAAATAAGTATTTTCATGATACATTGATTTTTTTGTGAGTAATCTTCAGGCTTTCTACTCCTACACTGATTAAAAGAGTGAGACACATTCAATTAGAAAAAAATCCAAACGTGCGAGAATATTCAGTTTTGGTGCAAAGTTTTCCAAACAGTTGAGAGAAAATGTTCAGCAAATATTTGTAATAGAATGGAAACAAATGTCATTAAGTAATGTGAAACCCTACAGAACATGATAATTGAAGTAATAATTCAAAATTTATTCTCAGTAGGAAAAAATCTGAATATAATGTGATGAATTTCATGATTGAAAAATATGATGGAACTCGTGAATTGGGGAAAATTGTTGGCTACTAGACAACTGGGTGAAAACAACAAGGTAAAGAATCGAACAACATTATATATATCCATATCTCAAAAACTTGAGACCGAGAATAACATTGTAGTTCCAAAATATTGACTGATAGCAAATCTCAAATATTCACTAACGATTGCTAATTGAATGAATGTCATATCAATAAACAACTCAATAAAATATTCTTCACTCAACGAATGAACACGACAGATAGAGCAAAAATTCGAAAGAAAGATGATGAGCTCAATAATTACATTCGATAGAGAATTGGATGGAATCCTTGGATACTCAAATAACTCCAATTGATGCATGAGTACCATTTGAACTTTGTATTAAAAAAAATCGATTTACATGAATTCAAAGAGAAGATGACAGATAATCGTTAATTGAGAACTCTCACAAGATTTAGACAGGAATAATAACAACAGTCTCTTAACTCGATTGCAAGCAATTTTGTGAAATGACAACAAATTAATATACACCTTGTTGAAAATTGGAAGAAAAGAAAAGGAAAATTCAACGACATGGCTTATATTCATATCTAGATGATATGGGAATAAAAACTGGAAATGAATCTGACAAGCGTCGACAGTGAATACAATTTATAACGTTAGTCATATAAATATCGTACTCCTTGATTAATATGTCATATAGTTTCATTTCTGATTTCTAAGCAATAACACCATATCAATTGATATCAAAATTAAGTTTATTTTTGTTTTCAAAAATATCACTACTCAGACATGCCAAAAATTCAATGATCATCAGATTGAACATGGCCTCCATACGAAATAAAAGATTGAAACAGTAAGTACTGATTGGAAAAATGCTTATTGTAAAAATGGTATTTGTATTTCAACTGCTTCTGCTTCACCTAAAATATATCTTCCCTCTCAATTTGAGCCTGAATGTGTACGAACAATTTTTGACGATCAGAAGTCGCCATGGAATGAAAGTTATAAACTTTTTTAAGTAGGTAATGTCAGTTGTAGATCATACTCGTACACCTGTGGATCTACTTGAATATTCAATGAGACTCATGTAAATATGTGATGGAATTGGCCGATATTCGATAAAAATCCATAACGTATTCACAATACTTTGTGAGATTGCTACTGAATAATTCACAAAGCCACAAAAAGTATTTCGTATACAATAGCGCAACATTTTCATGTTGCGGTCTTGTGAACTGTTGCTGTTTTGTAAGCTCTCCGACAGCAACACGTGTTTTGCCATACAATAGCTTGAAAACGCTTGAGGAAGCTGTTGTATAACAAAACACGTGTTGTCGTTTTGTAAACTGCCTAGTGGAAATCTCACAATGAAGCATCACTTGAATACTCACAAAATCATTTGAAACGACAAAATGCAATAGTCTACCTAACCATACTACCCAATTCAATTATTATTGAAAGTTGAGATACATTCATAACGAAGTCTTTTTCATAATGTTATCCTGATATTGACGTCTCAATTCTGAGTTTCAACTATAATACTCAATATGTGTGATTGATGACTTGTTTACTTTATGGTAATTCATGATCACTTAAATGAAATGAATAAAATTGTTTTGTCTAAATATCACTGGATTTATTACTTGATGATGGGGTCAAACCCGAAACCAGTCGTATAAATAAAATCTACCAGTACCACAAAAGTGTTGTCATTTATATAATACTCAATACTGTTACTGTTCATGTGAATGATATGCATTGACTGGAACATTCAACTATTCGAGTGTTCNTAATATTCATACCCTTTTTTTTTTTAAATGGAGACTACGGAAAAAAACTTGCTAAAACGATAAATATACAGCATCCTGTATACGACAATTCATCAAAAGCCTGTAATATTACGAATTACACAACTATGGTGTTAATCACGGTCAATTTTTTTGAAGAGTGAAATAATTGTCAAAGTTTTTGGTTTTTTGTTAACACCGATAATTACTCAAAATTATACAGTATGGTAAAAAGAACTTAGTATTCAATAATATTAAATCACGAAACATCAAAATAAAATAGGTATTTTGAAACAGAGTCATTGATTTTCTGGAGATTATTTTGAAGAATTATTTTGGACAAGAAAATCTCCAGAAAATCAATGAGATGGTTTGTGATTTGATATTATTGAATATTATATTCTTGTTACAATACTGTATAATTTTGAGTAATTATTGGTGTTAAGAAAAAATAAAAATAACTTTGCACTGAAAACTTTGAAAGTTATGTCACTCTTCAAAAAAATTGACCATAGTTAACACGATAGTTGTGTAATTCGTGATATTACAGGCTTTTGAAATGAACCATCGTTTACAGGATGCTGTCTATTTATCGTTTAAGCAAATTTTATTTTCGTAGTCCCCACTAAAAAATGTGTAAAAAAATGAAATTTCAGTTACATGGCCATGCCTTCAAATCTAGATGCTGAACAACTTTTCTAAATAACATTCCCCGAGATTTTTCCAAATGAGGGTACTTTACTCCTGTCTCAAAATCAAATATTTATTACGTGTGTTTTGCTGTATTTTGTTGGTGTATTTTTAGTTTTATGGAATGCACAAACTTACTTGATGAACATCCATAAATAACGTATTCAAAAAACACTTCATTGTGAGATTTTCACTAAACGATTTTACAAAAACACAACACGTGTTTCGCATTAAAATGGCTTCTTCGGGCGTGTACTTTATTCCTGAAACACGTGTTGCGTTTTTGTGGAAATGTTTAGAGGAAATCTCACAATGAAGTGTTTTTTGAATACGTTGATTCACATTGGATTTGAATCGCTGGAGATTAAATCCATTTGGAAACACGTTCTCAGGAAGTGTATTCCACATAAACGTGTATTCTCCAAATGAAAGAGTTCTCAAACAGTAAAGTTCGAGGTATGATGAGTTAAACCTCAAAGTGACAAGCAGCCATAGTCCGTCGCGTATTTCTGATATGTACCGCTCTTGGTTGACTCAAATGTGCCAAGTCACTTGAACACTTTCCGTAAAAGTATCTATAGGAGAGAGACATATCCTCAATCCTTCTTTGATGTTCCAGACTATCAAGGTTGCAAGTGATGTTCGCGTCTCCAGTCTGGCGGATGGTTCTTTTCTGGGTGGAATCCGGCAGCTTTGGGGTATGCTTAGAGGCGGAGGTCCATACATGAGAACAATACTCCAAAGAAGGTTTGATCTGAGCTTTATAAATCATCAAAAGTTGCTGAGGTGTCCACAGTTTTCTGTTTCTACACAGTGTTCCAAGCTTTTGAGAAGCAGGCTTTGCAATTCCAGCGACATGATTGTGACAAGACACATTGGTGTTTATTTCAACCCCCAATAGACTTATCGAAACAAGAAGCGGAATTGTATGACCGATGCCTGCGTTTTTGTGGAATTGAATTGAACCTCGTTAGTTTCACCCCAATTCGAAATTACTTAAAGATCCTCATTAAGATAAGCAACCGCCTGCTGCCGATGAAGATGTGCATTCACAGCCGATGTCCTTGAATCCAAATGGAATGACGTGATGAGTGTGCTGTTATCAGCAAAGCAATATATTGGATTCTTGTTTTTTTTTTCGATAAGTCGTTGATATACATTAAAAAAAAGGGTTGTAGACATTATGGATCCTTGGGTAACATCAGCGTTGATGGTAAAAATGTTCGAGAGATATCCATCGACGGTTACTTGCAGGAAACATTCTTTCAGGAAGCTGAAGAGCCACACAAAAATGATCCGATAACCCATAGAATTCATGAAATGTACCATTAAAATTGCAGACCTGAGGAAATGTACTATGAAGTTGGGCTCATCA